GGTTCTCAGTCTTGTTCATTGGGCTACCTCCATTTCCCTGCTCAAAAGGTACCGCCTGTGTTCTGGATTCAGGGCAAAATGAAGGCAGTCAAACCCCGGTTCCGCGACATATTCACATACCACTTCAGAATTGATATTACTCTAACAAGTAATTGATCCCCAGACTCCTCAACTCAGTTACTTGTTGAACATCTTCAGTGTCTACTCAGCCTGCCTGCATTGTTTGGAGTAACATTATTTCCAGCTAGAACTAACATTTAAACTCCAGCGTGAGTGCTGTCAGCCCTTACTCGGCCTCCTTCATGGTCCTCTGCCAGTAGGTACAGGGACGAACACACTGCCATCCAGAATGTTAACTGCCGACGGAGTGCACGTGGAATATGATGAGGAAGGAATTAACTCGGCAAAAGAATGGGATTTGAGTTGTGCTTTGAGGAACAAACCGTTAAAGGATTCAGAAGGCAAAGCAAAGACAGGTCACATAGGTAAGAGCCCGCTTAGGGTTGCGTGGAAGGAGAATGCAAACTGTAAGGGCAAGCAGGGCTTTGTGGAGGACTTCCATGTCGGAAAAAGGACTTGCAATGTTCCCACACTGGGAGGTGACTGAAGTTTCCTACCACTTCAGGAGTAGGTTGATAGTGCCGCATGGGACAGTACGGATTCAAGTGGTTGAGCTATTAGTTGAATGCTGACGAGGATGAGAACTTGAATCGGGCTGTCAGCAGAACAGAAAGGCTGATAATGTTTGATCTACAAATGGGTTGCAGTAACAGTTGAACACACCCGGACACCAGGATACCTCGACTGTTGATTTGCCCAAAACTGTTACACAAACTGACCACTAGGCGGCATCATCCAACCGGTGAAGTGGCAGATGAGGCCGCCCGGCAGACGCTCCTGCCTGGGTAGTTATGTATTCAGTTGAAGAGAGTTAATAAGTTAACTTTTTAAGTATTTTGGGAAGTAGAATCTTTATAAAGCATCACTACTGCCCATTTTAAACATGACAGTGAATGGCTAAGAAGTCTAAATTGCAGTCTGAATGTGGGCCTTTAGGCACTGATGGGGACCTGACTTTCCTAGGTTATTTGGCCTGTATTTCTTGCAAGACATTTGAACTTTGCTATATCCAAATCTTTAGTAGTCGTTGCCGTAAATTTCTACTGTATATTGCAAATTAGGAAGTTTATAGATATTTTATAATCCTGTCATCAAGTTATAAATGAAAATAAGCACTATTTAGTAACTTTACAAGTTCTGTTAAATGTTTTTAAGCCAGTATTGATTAATGGACTTTTAAGCAAGTATTTGGCTATTTACTGCTAAGTAAGAGAAACTACTAGAAATTCTGTTTCATTATTGTGTTTCTCATCCTTTGATTACTCTTACTAGAAGTCAGTAGGATGATAGTTTATATAGTACCTCATAATACTAAGTTGCATGTTGCTCAAGAAAGGAAATGTTGGTAGGACTTGTTTTAGATAACACGATGGAATATAATAGCATTTAATACTCAGAGGCCTAGCATGTTGAATAAGTATAAAAAAATATGCCAAATATATATTGGTACAGCAAGTTTTGGAAGTTTTTTTAAAAGTCCTGTTACAGTTTGAAAACTTAAAAAGATGCATTATGAAAAATGTCAAAAAGCATTTGAAGACACTAATTTTTTTCTTAATGACATATAAGGGCTTTTGATTTAATAAAAAATTTCTAAATATGTTGAGCCCCTATTATATACCAAGAATTGTGCTAGGTGATTGAGATCCATCAGAACAGTGATCCTTACTCTCTAGAAGAGCTTACATTCTATAGGAAGGGGAACAGAAAGGAGCAACAGGCATAAGAAACTTTTCAGTAGTGTGTCAGGTGATACATACTACTGTGGGGAAAACTAAGGGGAATTGGGTGGTTAGGATTTTAGAATAATTAGGATATGACATTTGAGCAAAGACTTGAAAAAGTAATTGGGGTGACTTGATACATTGAAAAGGGATTATAAAACAAGGGTAGAATCATGGAGACAAGTTCGGAGGCCACTGCAGTAATTCAAGGGAGAGATGATGGTGATTTGGATCAGGACAGCAATGAAGGAAGTGGAGAGAAATGCACAGAATATAGATGTAGTTTAAAGGCATAATTGATGGAATTTTCCTACTTCAATTTGTAGATTAGGTACTGAAAGATCATAAGGGATTATTGCAAGCAGGCCTGTCCTGGGGCAGGAGTATAATGGAGACACCAGTGGTTAAATGTTTAAAAGTTTCATTAAATGAACATACGTCCAATGCTCCTATCTTGACAAATATACCTTCCTAAGTATATGTAAGGCCAGGTTTGAATTTCAGATTGTTAAAGTCCAGTGCCAGAGCTGATCCTCAGCCCACGTCCCACCTCTTCCCATTCCTGGCTCTGAATTGTGTGGCAGTGGTCTGTCTGCACATTTGTGTGGACATCCTAGCCTGTCTGCACCATTACACTGGTGCACACACTGGTAGAAAGGCATTCCCTGGACCAGTTGAGGCCATTCAGGCAGGGCACTTGGAATCCTGAGTGCCTGGAGTGTTGTTCAGAATGAGCAGGAGCCCCAGACAGGTATGTCATTCTGACTCTTCAGGCTCAGGGCTCTGGGAAAGGGCCTCTTGGCTTGTGTGAGGGCAGCACTGCTCCAAGGTTCCGGCCTGAGCAACTAACTGTACAGATGGGATTGCCATCAACCTAGAAGGGGCTGCAGGGATCAGGGTGAGGAGATAAGTTTGGGAGTGCATATGTTTGAGTTCTCTGTTGGACCCAGATAGTACTATAGAGAAGAGTAAAGGGGAAAATTCTACAATCTCAGTAACACTGGCCTGGAATATATCAAAACCAAAGGTTTTGTACTACAGCCATTCTAACCAGTAAAGTTGTTAAAAAAAAACATGAACTTTAAGCATTTCCAGGTCCTTACTGAAACTGTTTCATCCAGAATTTGTTTCTTACCAATCATTGATAAACCTGTGGGCTCTAAACCATCCCCAGCACTACTTTTCAACTTATTAGCAAAAGTTCTATGAACTTTGCTTCCTATGGCTTCATATCACGCGTTTCTTCGGATGAATCACTCAGTGAATGTCTTCACCAATATGTGTTCTCTTGCTTGGCATGCGATAGTAGTATTTTTTATTTTAGTAGTCTTTGTTGTATCCTTTGGCAACAAGCAGTTGGATGTAAATTGGGGGTATGAATCTGCATCTTCAGCATATAGAAGTTATTGAAAGTGCTGAGTCTGGATGACACCAACAAGCAGAAGTGAGAGTAGATAAAAAAGAGAACCAAGGACCGATATTGGGGGGCACCTCAGCAGTAAAAGGTCTGGGGGACAGGGAGGAACCTGTAGAAGAGATGGGGACAGTGACCACAGAGGCAGAAGAAAAACTAAGAGTGATGCCCTTGAAGCCAGGGGAAGAGCTGAGTCCAAAAGTTGGACGTGATGCACCAGCCAGATTAGGAAATTTGAATTAGCCACTTCAAAGTTATTTACCAAAGCAATGATTTTGTTCACTATCTTTTTTAACTTCAATAACTTTAGGTGACACTTGGAGGTTTTCATTTTATCTACAGCTAAATTTGTGTTTTTTTAGGAACAGTTACATCCTGTAATTCATTTTCTGGGAATTTGTCTTAGAAATGGACAATATGGCCATTTTTGTGAGTTGGTGGTGACTGCTGAAATAAATTAAGAGCACAGTCATCACTGATTTGTAAGGTTCCTCTACTACTGAGATTTCCAGAGTAAACACACAGTGGCCAGGGGGCACATTGTGGACTTGCTTTTGAGCTGCTCACAAAGTCAAGAATTCCTGTGACATACCCAACTGGAAATTGTGAGTTTTAAACTGTCTATAGTCATAATAAAATAGGTGCTTTTGAAAATCATGCTCGTCCTTCAGACATTTGGAAGTAATTTAGAATGTTGCATCCTGGTAAACAGGTTCGATCATACCAACACTGAATTTTTCCTAAGAAAATGGCTTAGCCTTCCAGATTACATCTTGTGTTTTACCCAGCCAAGTTTGTATTATATCATTTTTACATATGAAATGTCCCCAACTACGCTTGCCCTCAGAGACTGAATTGCACACTCAGAGGAAGTATCTTTTCCAAATGGGCTGATGAGTGGCATTGTTTAATGGATGGTCATGTAGAAATTCTCTAGAATGCTCCCTTGTTCTACAGAAGCAGGGAGAGAATGAGATGTTAGGTGTACCGTTTGTCACTGGTATACAGAATTTTTTTTAACATAATCTTACTGGAAATCCTTACATAATTTTAATAGTTGCCCTTCTTAATGTGAAGGCCCCGGGAACTGGGCAAGTACAATTCAGTGGGACTCAGGATTGTGCTGGAAGGACCCCCGTTTGCTAAAACATGATTTGTAGATTAAGCTTCAGGACCCTCCTGCGTTTAAAAGTTACCCTTTGTTTTCCATTACCTGGGGATCAAGTTCATATTTCTTCGCACACCAAGTATTTGACTCTTGTTCAGCTCTTACAGCTCGTCTCACTTCTATCATTTTGTTCCAGCCACATGAAATGAGTAGGTGACTAAGCTCCCCCTTCTTCCTCCTTGGGTACAAGTAGTAGCTTTTCCACTCCGGCCATCTCTGCTGTGTCCGCGTTGGTTTATTCTTAGTGATTCTTCGGTTTCTCGGGGTCGGTGTATAGTTGTGGTTCTGCTTAGTGGCTGGATTTCCCCACCAAGAGGTTTGGTTTCGGTTTAGCTCTGTACTGTCTTGCTTCCCTACAATTTCTATAGAAATTACTTACATGTGGGAGTGCGAGGGAACCAGGGGTGAGTACAGCATTTACGCAGCCGGGGATAAACGGGATTACAGAACAGATCCGGCCCGTTAGGTGTCTGCAAAGAGGGGCCGCGGAGGCCCAACCGGCCGGTTGGAAGGCCACGCTGTGCCTTGGGGCTGGGGCGTTCAGCACCCCAAATTCTTGGAGGTGAGTTACAGCTGGGAGGTGTTGCCGGTTGTATGACTGGGTTAAAAAGGAAGCTGGAGAGCTGTGACCCGGGTAAAGGCGGGCTAGTGCCTGCGCTCCGGGGTGGAGGAAATGAGGGAGAGGTGCTGTATGAAGTGGATCGCCTTTCTCTTGCAAACGAGGACAGACCGTAGCGCTGTTGCTTGATTTAACCATCGCCCGCTCTGCCCCAGGAAGCTAGTTAGTGACCGTGAGCGAACGTGCGTGGAGAGGCCCCGTGTCCTCTCGGCCTTTGCACGTAGTGTTCACGTGGAGTCCTGGGGCCTCCGCGGCTGAAAGCCTCACGCCCGGCCTCCGTGCGCGTCTGGGCCGGGACCGCGCACTCGGCGCAAATGCCCCGGGCTGGCGCCCGGGCGCAGAGCCGGCGTGGTTTCCGGCGGTGTGGGAGCCGCACCCGCCGGTGCTCCGTAGGACGGTGCGAAGGCCTCAGCGCCGACGCACAGCTGGGGCGCGATCGGCAGTCGACGCGAGCGGAGGAGCGGTATTTCCGGGCCGCGGCCCCCTGGCCAGCTCGCCGGCGGAGCGCGGACGCGAGCGGGCGGCGGGGCGGGGCGCGGGCGGCGGGGGCGGGGGCGCGGAGAGGTCCCGGAGCGCTTCTCCGCGCCCTGCTCTCCCCCTGCGGGCTCCGGGAGCCGCCTTTTCCGCTGGGTGTCACCCGGCGCGGGGGCGGGGGCCAGTTCAAAAGCGCCGCGAGGGGTCCGGCCCGCGCCCTTAAGCGAGCGCTCGGCGGAGCGCGGCCGCTCGCGGCTCCGAGAACTTGCAGCGTGTCGGGACGCGGCCGCCCTCCTGCCGGGACCCCAAGCCGCCGACTCCCCGCTTCCTGCGCGCTAGCCGCTTCTGCGCACCCCGGGCGGGCGGCCGCGGGGAGGACGGCGCGCGGCTGCTGCTGCCCCGGGCCCGCGCGGCGGCCGGCAGGATGCTGGAGAGCGGCGGCTGTAGGGCGCTGAAGGAGGGCGTGCTGGAGAAGCGCAGCGACGGGCTGCTGCAGCTCTGGAAGAAGAAGTGCTGCATCCTCACCGAGGAGGGGCTGCTGCTCATCCCGCCCAAGCAGCTGCCGCCCCAGGGACCGCAGCCCGCGCCGGGGCCGGCCGAGGCGCCCCAGCCCGGAGGCCCCGCCGTGGCCAGCCTCGAGCCGCCGGTCAAGCTCAAGGAGCTGCACTTTTCCAACATGAAGACCGTGGACTGCGTGGAGCGCAAGGGCAAGTACATGTACTTCACTGTGGTGATGGCCGAGGGCAAGGAGATCGACTTTCGGTGCCCGCAGGACCAGGGCTGGAACGCCGAGATCACGCTGCAGATGGTGCAGTACAAGAACCGTCAGGCCATCCTGGCCGTCAAGTCTACGCGGCAGAAACAGCAGCATCTGGTCCAGCCGCAGCCCCCGCAGCAGCCGCAGCCACTCCGCCGGCCGCCGCACCCGCAGCCCCCCGGCCGCCGGCCGCTGCGGAGCACCTCCGACTCCGCCTGAAAGGGCAGCGCTGGTGGGCGAGGTACGGTCCGCGGCGCCTGGGTGCCCAGCGGGCTCCGGCGGTGTTGGGGGACTGGGAAGCCTGCCCGCGCGTTTGGCTCTTGGGTGGAAAGCGGGAAATGTTCCCGGGATCTGGGAGGTGGGAAGAAGGGAGGCAAGCAGGGGCCAGGCGGCCGACCGGGCGGGAGGGTAGGAGGGCTCAGCCGGCGGGGTCTTCTCCGCGGCCCCCCTGCGCGCCCCTCTGTGTCCGGGCATCGGCGGAGCGGCCCGGTGTCTTTACCAGCGTGTTTCGCCGCCGAACTGGCCCGAAGACAACTGGGTCTTGGAGGTCGCTGAGCCGCCCGCCCACTTCATTCCGTGTCATTTTTTTTACAGGTTTTGAGGACTTGAGGAAGAGGGACGAGCACCTTTCTATTGTCTTCACTTGGGTTGGAAACAGCAGTCTCCCCGCCCGCGCAACATCCAGTAGTTTGGACATTACCAGACTGAGAACTTGAGAGTCCTCTTAGTTTTCTGCATACTCGTCATCACCACGCAGGAAACGTTTCAGTCCAGAAGGCTTTTATTTATGAACCTTTGAAAGGATCTTCCAGTATGGTGGACCTTCTAGGAGCAATGATGTACTGTAATTTTATTTTAATGTATTTTGATTTATGATTATTTATTAGTTTTTAAAAAATGCTTGTTTTAAGACATTTCTGAATGTAGGCCACTTTCCAAAAACCCTTATTTTCAAAAACCTATTCCCTAGTAAGTTCTAATCTTGGAAAAGAAAAAAAGGCAAGGGGCGGTGGAAGAGAAAGCATAAAGAATTCATTTGTTATTTCTAGGGCATTTTCAGAAGGTCTGATAGTTTCATTCTTGTGCCAGGTGGTTGAAATTAAACTCTGTGATATTACAGTTTTCCTTTTTAAGATTTTTTTTATTTAGACATATTTTATATAGAATAGATGTTTAAAGAAGCTGGATGTTCAAAATCGTGTATATTAGAATCTAATTGCTTTTCTAAAAGGAAATCAATTGTAATGATATCTAAGTCAATACGCTTAAAACATAGCCTATCTATGGCAGGGCACCCAATCTTGAGTACTGGTACGGCTGCGTCTCCTGTAGGAAAAGCCTTGCTTGTATCATCTGCGTGTGAAGAGTTTAATAAGGAGATTTCTATGATTTTTGAGTATGAATGAATTAGGTGTTTCGTTTCAAAAACCATAGTGGGGGGGAAAGAGAATTACTCAGCTTGTTTGAGAGAACATTTGCATTCTTATCCACACTAGAGGTTACCCTTTTCCAAGAGTTTTGCTGACTTCATCTGAATCACATTTTCTGACCCTTTTACTTTGTTCTAGAAGCATACGCTAGAATCTCATAGTTTAAGTAGTCTGTAAATATTTCAAAGGATTGGTAGTCATAACTTTTTTTCATACTGAAAATAATGATTGGGGAAACCATTTTGCTTTTTATTGCTCTAAGAGAAATTTGAGGGTTATCTGTTTTGTCAGTGTTAGCTAAACTCAAAAACTGGAAAGGAAGGACTGGGTAAACACTGGATTTCAGTAAGAAAACAACCCCAGTCTTGTTTCAGCAGCCATTTGTTTAGGAGCCTGGGGGTGAGAGGAGGGGATGTGCTTTTAAAGGTAGAACAAACCTCTTCTGTTAAATCCATAGGATGGGCAAAGCCACAGGGCAGATGCTACTTCAGTTTAAAAAGAGCCATAGATGGTACCAAGTTCTCCTGGGGCAGAGCTTTCTGTCTGCATGGCTTTCCTAAGGGGACTCTGTTTTCTATTACCTTTTCCACAAGTTCTTGACCAGTATTTTTCCAGCATCTCAATTGGAATGGTTAGTATTAGGCCACTGCTAAGTTACATAGTCAAGAAATGAAAACAGTTTTATGCTAGAGATGTCTTACTCTCCCTCCATCTAGAAAGGAGTTTCAAGGTCAAATTACTTTTTACTGCAATACTTAAATAATAAAATTTTGAGATCGTAACTCTAATCCAAAAAGATATGGGGGAAACTGAAATTAAAGCAAATGATAAGCAAAACTTAAGTAGGCTCCCACTTCCAGTGGCTAAGTTGTGGTGAAAATAACAGCTGCAAAGATGTGAAGCCTCACACGTATGTGTGATGGGCAGTTCAGAGAGCAGATTTGAAGAGTCAGGTTCGCTTGGCTTCTTCAGAGCTACTGCTGTACTTTTTAGATAATGCCCCATCATACTGCGGTTTTAGTATGTGCATCATATAACCCCACTTAAACCATAGTTCTGTCCTGATGGAAGGATTTTTCTTTAAAATTCTTGTGCTATTAAAAAGGTAAAATCCATACCAACTACTTTGAAAATTTAGATTTTTGTAGGCTTTTAAAAGGCATTTATGTGTTGTTAGCTGACATGTAGGCTAGGTAGCACCATGGCAAACCTGCTCAGACTTCCTCGTGGCCGCTGGCGCTGCTGTCCACAAACCCCTCCCTTCAGCATGGCTGTGGCTCTCCATGGGGCCACCAGCATCAGGGTTCTCTGTCTTGTCTTTCCATAGCCCCTATTTCTTGGTCTGCTGTGACATTTCTATGGAGCTGACCCTCTTTAGTGGCTCTTTAGCCTGAACCCTTCTTAGCATTTAACTGTGCAACCTTAGGAATTAGAAAGGAGAGGAGTAGGATAGCTTTTGTTGTTTGACATCCTGAAACTATTATGGCTTAATAATGTTTCTAGCACAAAAACAAGCATGTTTAACAAAACAAAATATAAATGTGAATCACTGAACTTGTCAGTGACTCTCTTCTACCTGTGGGGACTTTATACAAACCACTTAAGATATTATGAGACCTGACAACTAACCTTCATGGAAAAAAGATAATATACTTCTTCAATCCAAGGAAAAGAAGAAGGGAAGGGCAGTTCCAATAGAAAACCCACCCCTTAAACATGTGACAAGTTGGAGAATTAAAGGGAATGTCCCATTCGTCCTTGGATTTGTGCGGGCACCACACATCGTGCACAGTGAGCTCAGTAACTCTGTTGGGACAATGAATGAAAGGAGGACAAAATGTGTGACTCCAGCATGTAGGCGGTGGTTTCTCTTGCCTCACACAGCCCTCCCTCACTGGCTCCTGCTTGGTGCCTGAGGACTTCGGCTGGGACAGGCCAGCACTGCGGAGCTCTCAGCACCCACACTTTCTCAGCACCATCCACAGCTCTGCCGATGCCCTCCAGGGAATGCTGAGGTCAGAGAGTAATGGCTATAAAGGGCCCTTTCAAGTGAACATTTCCCTGCTAGAGGAAACGAGTTCTTGCATGTAGAGATCAAACCAACTATGATGTCCCTTCTCATGTTTTTCCCAGCCTCAGTGAAAACCCCACCATGTTGCTTTGGGGAGTAGCCTTCACACTGCCCAACAGCAAACCCTGTTAGGAACCTGACTGAAGTTGAAACGCCTGTTTTAACTCTTCTGTTCTCAAAGACCAAACCTCTGTTTCTCTTAAACACCCCTCATTTAAAATTGGGCACTATTCACATTTGTCGCCAGCGTGTAAGTGCAAACACATCACTTGTTTCCTGTCCTCCTGGGAAAGTGATGTGGTTTTCGCTTGGCTCCAACCGTTGACAGTGTCATGTTCAGGGGCAGGACTAGAGAGAGCCGGGGTGTGAGACTGGAGTGACGCAGGAGCAGCCCCATACCGTGTGAAGCGCTGCAGGACGAGGATGGGCTGCTGAGTGTTTGGTCCTTTCTTTTTTTTTAAAATGTCAAATGAGCAGAATAAAATTTACATTTGGGAACTGTAGAGCTTGGTAATGAATCCATCAGTGATACTTTGAAGGGAAATCTACCTTTTTGCCAAAAGCAACTTCCAATGTGTAATTGTGGCATCGTGCTGTATGGATTTTTAAGAACTGTGTTCTGAATTCTTGACACAGTTTGAAGGGTGACTTTTTGATCTGTAGTATTGAACAGTCAATCTAGGTTTATATAAGATGGGGTATGACAAGGTGATCTGTGACTTTGTTAGGACATTTGCCCAATGGAGTATAAGATCCAACAGGGTTTTCCAGAAAGGACATCCATGTCCAATGAAGGGGGCAGAAGGACTGGGTCACTAGAGGCATCTGCATAAGGATTGGTGAGACTGACCCCTCCCTGCATTTCAATGATAGGTGGCCCTTGTAGATCACTGTATTAGTGTTGAGAAGAAAGATAAAACTTACCTGTTTCATTCCACTGTCAGCCTTCTGTTTAAACTTTCAGAATATGCAGATGCCAGCCTCTGAAGAGCAAGCCTCACCATGTACCAAATGCTTTACAAACTGTCACATTTCTTGCATTTAATAGTGTGGTCATAAGTTGTGTAAATACGTCTTGAATGATTTTGGAGAGATGTGAATTATTTTTCATATTTTAAAAATGCATTCCACTTCAAATAAAACATCTTTTGAGATGACCAACCTGTGCACCTTCTGAAGGTCTGCTTGTCTGCCATGTACAGTTTGCATTCCCATGGGAGAAAGGTTACAAAGGACTTGGCTGTTGTAATGGCCATGGCCATTCTTGGAGGAAAAGGACCATTTCTGAGTTTGGAAATTAATTTTTTAAAAAAGCACCTGGGAATTCTGAATAAAGGATATAGAAATTCACTAAGATCTTTGGGTGAAATAATTAGCTTTCAGAATGCTAACAGATTTGAGTTGAATTTTCCACAGTACCCCAGAAGTTGAGAAATGGTCCCTAGGGGTTATCTTGAAGGCAGTTCCCTCTGGAGTCCTAGAAAGATTCAGTTCCTCCTAGGTCTCTTGAGAGGGTAAAGCCTTGATTCTAAGAGAATCATCCATCAGACAGGAATCTATAAAGCTTCTTGCTTTGTGTTGAGAGCAGAAGAGAGACTGGATTCTTTAAAGGAAAATAGTATGACTTTACTCTTACAATCTCCTTTGGCATCTAAAAGCCTGTAAGTCTCAAAAGACTTTAAAAGAGGAAATTTGAAGGCAATTTTTTATCCCTTAGCATAGCCTTATATTGATTGACAACTTTATTGCCCTACTGTTTTTTGGTTTTGCTTTTAAGATAAAATGAAATCTGAGAAGACAATGACTGCCATTGCAAAGGAACTTCAGGAGTATTGCATGAAATAATGAAGCATAGTAGGTGGTAAAGAGCCAGGATTTGGCGGTCATTGGTACATGTACCAAGCTCTACAGTTCCCAACATGGACACAAGTCCCAGTTCTACTCTTACTACCCCTGTAGATCTTGAACTACTTAACCTCATGGAGACTCAGTATCCTTCTTTGTAAAATAGAGTTAGTAAAAGTACGTACCTCAGGGTTATAGAGAAGATTTACTATGTCAGTACGCATCAAAGTGCTTAGAAACTTTGAGGGCAGATAAAACCGGCTTGGGAATTACAGCCATATGACTATAACATATGGTGTTTTAAGGCTGTAAACTGTACATCTGAGATCTCAGCACCTCTTTAAATGGGAAGAACAGTATGATGGGAACATCCTTGTAGTCAACTTCGAAAAGAGAAAAAAATTGTGGTACTATTTTCATTTGCTCATTACTTCCTAGTCTTGGTCCACATGCTTACACATTTTAAGTGAGTTATAGTTACTCAAAATGGATGCTCTGCCCAGATTACTGCTTCAGAGCAGCGATGGCCCCCTGGCCCCCAGGAATGGGAGTGCTGGTGGCTGTCGGGCATAGAGAGTCCTTTCCCTGGAGTTGCCCCCAGCCTGGTCTCGGTGAGAGCCACCTTGCCCTAGCCCGGGGGGAGCCTGCATCCAGTGATGGGTCTACGGAGAGTGGATAACAACCAGGCCCTGTATTCTCAATCAGGACAACTGTAAAGTCCATCCAGCCCCCAGCTCTCTGTAGAATAGGCGGAGGCCTTTCTCAGCAGTGAGCTGGCGCTGCAGTCCAGCTCTCTGCCCAGCCCATTTCCCTTGCTCCCTTGGGAGTGAGGGTCCCCAGAACATGGCCCTTTCCCCTCCTCCCCCCACCCAAACCTCCTGCAGTCAAATCTCAGAGTCTCAGAAGCTGTTGCCCAGGAAATACTGTCTGTGACTGTGTCTGTGTGCAAATATGTATATATATACACGTGTGTTTCTGGGAAGGCTGGTGGTGTTGCAAGGGTGTCTATCGCATAATGGTCAAGCCTACACTTCAGAACAGTAACTCCCAACTTGGACTGATTTCATCCCCCAGGAAACATCTGCGACATTCGGAGACATTTCTGGCTTTCACATCTGGCGATGGGAGAGGTCAGGGACTCCGCTCAGTGCCCTACATCACACAGGACAGCCTCCCACAGCAAAACATTATCCAGCCTGAAACGCCAATGGTGCCAGAGCTGAGGAACCTTCGTCGGAGTCAGAGAGCCTTGCTCTGAACCCTGGAGCGGGTGGTCTGGTTTATTTAGCTTTAGTCTTCATGTGTAAGATGCAGACAGTGAGAGTCTGGTCTCATGGACTTGTAGACCTAAAATGAGGAACTGTCACCATTCCTGTCCCAAAGTAAGCTTTCAATACCTGGTAGTGATCATCCTCATTATTACTATTTGAGGTTATAATTTTGATGGTAATATAATATCTCCTGGAGTTGATGAATTACTTCATTCATTGGCAGGTTGTCACCTAGTGAGTGTATTGGTGCTGTTGTCGACATGTTGCAGTAATTGTCTCCCAGCATGCATCGGTGGACTTGACCTTAGTTATGACTCTGCTTGGCTCACTCAGTCTCCCTGGGTCTTAACAGCCTTGCCCTTGAGGAGATATTACAGGCGTACCATAAAGTGGCAGTGAGATCTACATGTGCTCAAGACCCAGAGCTGCCACTTAACAACTTTACTCGGAGTGAGGCATCTAGTGAAAAATTATTATCTGGATACCGTTTTAATTCTGAGAGATTAGATATTATATATATATATATGTATCTATTATACCTGTATATCTGTATTTAGATATAGATATATATGTGTGTGATACCCATATGCATATCCCAATGAAAATAATCTAGATTTAAGAAATAGAATGTTATCACAAATGGAAAAATAGTACCAAGTAATTCCTAGTTTTTTGAGCCAAATTTATATTTATATTATAGTGGAAGGAATCAGAACATACAACTGCCCAGAATTATGGAGAGAGTAATGAACTGAGTAATGAACTCACTGGCCACATGGGTCTATTCAGCAAGGTGTTCTTACTTGCTCTTTTCCTTTTTTTCAAAGATCCCATTGGTCACTCTCACCACACAGAAAAGCAGACAAACATCATGGTGTAAATGGTCTGTAGCCCTGGCCATACTGCCTGCAGAGTACAACTGTTTATCAGTGATGGGGCAGGATGGCCCAGGGTACTTTGGAGATTCAGACGACCTGGGGTGAACTGTCAATGCAGGCAGGTCTCCATGTGGCAGGGCTGTTCTGAATCTGGGGTTATTTTGAAGGGACCGTCAGGATCTGAGGACCCAGAGGTCTATCTGCTCTGTTACCTGATGGAGTCCCAGGTGACTGCTCTGGGATAGGGTAGGTGAGTGGGTGGCCTGCTCCCTGACACGGCCCTCACCCAAACCGCTAATGTTTGGTTAGGCTCTGGAAATGAAAACTCGAAGACATAGTCAGCGTGGTTATATCGTGGTTATATCGTATACCCTCCTGCCCCACTGAAGCCACTTACACCGGGGCGAGCAGGCACATGCTGCATCCACAGACCAGAATCCCGAGTTACCGAAGCGCCTGATGGATGAGTATCCACAACGGCACAGAAAGAGCCAGAAACCATTCTTGAGGAGTTTCACAATTTCAGTTATGTCTTTGCCCTCCCCCGACTTTCTCCTGAAGCTCAAACAGTTCAGTTCCGACTGAAGCCGACAGGTCGGTTACTCTGCAAGCATTTGAACTTTGCTGCAGCGGCTCCTGCCTGGAGACCGCAGGCATGCTGGCTGCTGGCTGCTGGCTGCCAAGGAGCCCGCCGCAGATTCAGGCACACTCTAGTTTGCAGCTGCTGAAGATGTGTTCGTTTCTGCAAGGCTTGGCTGCAGTTTGTAATCGCACACAGACCTTTTTTTTTTTTTTTGTATCATTAATGTACAATTACATGAGCAACATTATGGTTACTAAACTCCCCCCATTGTCAAGTCCCCACCCCATACCCCATTACAGTCACTGTCCATCAGTGTAGTAAGATGCTATAGAGTCACTGCTTGTCTTCTCTGTTGCACTGCTCTCCCTGTGCCCCCCCGACATTATGCACACACAGACCTTTAATACCCCTTCTAAGCAACCCCGATACATACATACATGTGTGTGTGCATGTGCACATGCACACGCACGCACATGTGTGTATGTTCACTTTCCTTGCTGGGCCTTTCATGGCTTGCGTAGGTGGGGTGGCTGGTCTTTGTGGAGACCTGGTATCCACCAGGTTTAGGCAGCAAGGGCGGGGCAGGGCTGGCTCAGCAGAGCCTTGAGCGACCTGCTTTGAGGGTCAGTCCCATCCGCCTAAGCCCCTGTTTAAGGCAGAGGTCTGTGTGGCGCCAGGTCCCTTTGTAATTTCCTGTTGCCGCGTGTCTCCACCACCACTGGAGGGAATGCCTCCACTCACAGGGGAGAACTATTCAGTATCTTGCTCTCTTAGTTTCTGACAATAAAATAATTCAGTATCTTTCTCCCTTGGTTTCTGACAGTAAAGGAGACTCTTAAGGTAGGTATCAGTCTATGAGTTGTGTTTGCTAGTGTGTGAGCGAACCTGATCTTGCTACAATGCACTGGCTCAGTTTAAATAATTGTACTTATTGCCAGGGGTTTTAGTTAAACCTTTGATGCCTGTATAAAGGGCCAGGTAGCTACCAGAAGACCAGAGCTGCGTGGCTGTCTCCACTGCTGGTGGACCCTGGTTTATATTTGCCTTCTATAAAGTGGTGGGCATTCATACCTCTCCTCTGCTTGCATAAATGGTGAAGTTGAGACCAGGGTCAAAAATGGAATTTTAGGAGTTTAGATAAAGTCTCCTTCATCCCTCCCTCTTTATTTGCAGAGGAAGAAAATGAAGCTAGGAAGGGCCAGTGACCTGCCTACACAGCCAGTTAAAGTCAAAGACAGGACTGGAGCCTGAATCCAGCTCTTTTGATTCTAAATTAATGCTCTTGCCTTGGTCTCACCACTTTGTGGTGATTTATGTAAATTTGTGGTGTAAAAAGGCTTGGAAGGTAACTTATGTAAATTTATGGTATTGTTATTCTTGCTAGTAATCACTTGAAGCATCACATCTTTCCCCTCAAAAAGTAGATTTTTATTTAAGTTATACAAAGCATCTCAAGGCATTTAAAGATACTGAAAATGAACTGTTTAATTCTACAGCTCTATAAACTGAGTTGTGACTTAGACGTTCCAAATATAATTCAGGTGAATTAACAGAAACCTTAAGCAAGAGGAAAATTCACAA